CTTTCATTATGTCTCATAAGTTAGGGTATGTTGTGCCTTTGTTTTCATTGAATTCCACAAAGTATTAAATTTAGTTCTTGATTTCTTCTTTCATTCAGTCACTGAGTAGAGTTGCTCAGTTCCATGACTTTCTGTTGTTTCTGTTGCATTGAATTCTAGCTTTCAATCTCCATGATCTGAAAAGATATAAGGAGTTATGTCACTCATCTTGTATTCATGGAGACTTATTTTGTGACTGAACATATGTTGAATTTTAGAAAAGATTCCATGAGATGCTGAGAAGTAGGTACATTCTTTTATGTTTGGTTGAAATATTTAATAGATATTTGTTAGGTCCATTTTATTCATAACATCTGTTAATTTCACTATTTCTCTGATAATTTCTTTCTCCATGTCCTGTCTATTGGTGAGAATGGAGTGTTGAAGTCTCCAAGTATTTTTTAATTTAAATTATTTCATTTATTTATATTCCAGTTATTGTTCCCCACTCAGTCCTTCCTCTAATTCAGGGTTCAATGTGTGATTTAAGAGTCATTAATGTTTCTTTTAATAATGTGGGTGCCCTTAGCTTTGGGCCATAAATATTTATAGTTGAGATGGTCTCTTGGATGGGATGGGATCACCTTTGATTACTTTTGGTTGAAAATCTTATATTACGATGGATAGGCCAGCTTGTTTCTTCCATTTCCTTGGAAATCACTTCCAGCCCTTTACTCTGAGGTAGTGTCTAACTTTGTTACTGAGGTAAGTTGTTTGTCTGTAAAAGATGATGGATCCTATTCACTCATCCACTCACTTCATCTGTATCTTTTTATTTAGAGATTGAGACCATTGATGATGAGAGATATTAATGGCCAATGTTTGTTAATTTCTGTTATTTTGATGTTGATGATGATTGTATGAGTGTGTGTATGTGTGTGTGCACATCTGTGTATGTGAGTGTGTTTCTCTTCTTTCAGTTTTACTGAAAAGACATTATTTCTTTCATGATCCTAAATGTAATTAGACCAATTGGATTAGATTTTCCTCTAGTATCTACTATAGGGCTGGATTATTGAAAAGATATTGCTGAAATTTGGTTTTGTCATAAAATATCGTACTATCATTCAATGGTTATTGAAAGTTCTTATGGGTGTAGTAGTCCACAAGTTGATTATAAAACATTGTATTTGAATCATGACTACTTACTGTCAAAGGTAAGGACACCATTCCAACCAGGAGATCAGTCTCATTTTTCTTCCACAAAATGACTCATCTCTATCACCTGCCTAAGTTTTGAGGCTAAAGCATGAAACAGAGTTCAGAGATCAGAGACATGATAGGTGATGTCCACCAGTGTGCATATCTTTCTGCACACATATTATTTGACACAGAGATTTGCATTTTGATTGATATTCCAGGGATCTTTCAATTGCCTCCTTTGGCTAAAAGTTCTGAGTAAGGAATCTACACTTGCTCAAGGCCCCTCACTGTTTCTTTCTAATTCCCAAAACATAGCATCAGTTCATCTATCCCTGTCCACCTCTTCTTCAGGTTCATCACTATATCCAATGAGAAACAAACAGTTTTCATTTATTCATTTATTCACATTACATTTCAAGCATTGATTTCTGCTCCTTTCCCAGTCTTTTCTTCACAGACTGCACCTCCATTCCCGTCTCATTTTTTGATGAGAAAGGGCAGCCTCTTCTCTGGGTAGAAATCCACCCTGGCATACAATGATCTTACAGGAGTAGGCACATCAGCTTCCCCTTAGCCCAGACAAGGCAGCCCAGTTTGGAGACCAAGATATTCAGACAGGCAGCAGAGTTAGTTACAGCCCCTGTTCCAGCTGCTGGGGGACTGTAATGAGGACGAAGCTGCGCATCAGCTACATCGATGCAGGAGACATAGGTCCAGCCCATGTTTGATATTCAGCTGGTGGTTGAATCTCTGGAAGCCTACAAGAATCCAAGTTAGTTTACAGTTTTGGTCTTCAAGGTTTCTCAGTGTTTCCCCTAAATCTTTGAAAATACACACTAAGCTAAGTCTAATGTTAGACTGTCAATCTCTACATATGTTTTAGTCAGCTGCTATGTGGAGACTCTCAGAGGGCAGTTATGCAATATGCATAACTGTAACTTAACCTGTATGCAAGCATGACAGAGAATCATTATTAGTGTTGGAGACTGGTTCTTGCCCACAGAATTATTTTCAAGTTAGGCCAGTCATTGGTTGGCTATTCCTTCAATCTCTGCTCCATTTCTGTCCTTTGTGACTGAGCTGTCTTTGCATACCACAATCAGGGATTCTCTCTACACATAAATTTTTGAGTAATCCTTGATGAGTCCACATATTTATTCAAATTTCTCCTTTCTATGTGACATGTGTTTCTGGTTTTTTTATTACTGTGGTTTTCTCTCCATGAATGTGTGTGTGTGTGTGTTTGGAGAGGTTTGTGAACATGGTGACATACAAGGCCTTCCAATGTCAATCAGCACCACATTTTCCAGACATGTTCTCCCATTGGGCATTAATATTTGAGATGTTTAGAATTATTGGCCAGAGATTTCCTGCTGATGTTCCCTCCATTTCCCAGAAGCTCTTCAGTTCCTCCTCTGGTGGTGTGAATTACCAACAGAGAAAAGCACTACAGTATCTGGTTCTCTATGGTCTTCAACTCCTCAAGGCACAGGGTCCCCATGTTCATCCCTGCCCTCTACTCAACATCTAGTCATCACATAGGAGTCTCTGGTTTTTTCCTTAATTCATTGACATGATCCTCAAGCTTGGTTGAGTAGCCCTCTATGATCTGTTAATAACAGCAAACCTTTCAGTCCTACAGCAATACAGAAATATATTTAGAAACCTAAGTTTTTATGTATTACAAGATGAACAGAGACTAAAAGAGAACTAAAACGTACATACAGATAAACACATGAAATCACATATGCTAAAAGTTTTACAGAACTCCCTCATGGGTGATATTTTCTGGATGAGTGATAAGAATAAGACTCACTATTCTGAAGTCAAAGAAAAAATTTTACGTAATTTTTAAATAAGATTTCCAATAATAAGACCAATTACATCTTAAACTGCCTCCTGGAATTTACAAAGCTATAAAACTTCATGAAGATTATGGTATTTTGCTCTGCCTGCACTGTATGAATGTGAACTCACTTGTTGTAATCATCTCAGTGTTTGCTTCCAAACCTGAATAATGGGAATTATTTAATTTTCTGCTTATCTAGACTTGGAAATCCAGACAGAATCAAAAACAATGTTCATAACACTACATTTCCATTTCTTCTAAAATCACAGGGCAAGTCTCAGTCACCTGTGGGAAAAAACAGAAACCTGGCTGAGTGCTTGCTTTTATCCCCTCAGGAACCTCCCCCAATGCAAAGCAGCTCTCATGATCAGGCTGAAAGCCCAGGCCTAGCTGAGAAGAGCCATCCTCTTCTCCTTAGAGCCTCCATCAGAGCATGGCTGTCTTGGTGCTGCTACTCTGCCTGGTCACCTTTCCAAGCTGTAAGTGTTTCAGAGTTTCAGGAGAAAAACTCAAGAATGACATCTGTGGAATGTATGACTGATGCTGATGTTGCTTTTCCACAGGTGTCCTGGCCCAGGTGCATCTGAAGGTGTCAGGACCTGACCTGGTGCAACCCTCACAGACCTTGTCCCTCACCTGCACTGTCTCCGGATTCTCATTAACTAACTATGAAGTACATTGGGTTCGCCAGCCCCCAGGAAAGAGTCTGGAGTGGATGGGAGCTGTGTGGAGTGGTGGAAGCACAGAATATAATTCAGCTCTCAAATCCAGACTGAGCATCACCAGGGACACCTCTAAGAGCCAGGTTTTCTTAAAAATGAACAATATGCAGACTGAGGACACAGCCACCTACTACTGTGCCAGAAACACAGTGAAGGAAGTCAAGTATAAACCTGCACAAAAAAACTCCCTACAGGGATCCTTAAGACCAGCAGGGGGCAGTGACAACCAACAAGAACTTCCAAAGCTCACTTCAGAATCTAAGAAATTCTGGTCTATGCTGTGTGAACATGCTTTTTAATGTTAAAGATGTGGACTCTTCCTCCAACCATGGAAATTTGCTACAGCCTTCTCTGCAGGCTCAGATTCTATTAAAATTATTGTTTGTTCACATACTAGTAGAATATTAAAGTGATTCTATAATCTAACAGTGTAAAAAAAAAAACAAACTAGAGTTGATATTTATCAAGATAACTCAGTGAAGCACTGTGTAGGTGAGGACAGACGGGGAGATTTGATAATGGATTTTTTCTCACATTGTAGCAGTTTTGTAACATTTGTACTGTTTACTGTACTTAATTGATCTTTGAGATTAATTGTACTCATCTTCTCTAACATGCAGTTTTTAAACACATGTCCACAGTTTAATGAGGACACAGTTATCTTTCTGAGGGCTAACTCATAAGATCTGCTCTCTATATATTAAGAACACAATATGCTGTTATTTAATGTAACCAATATCCATACTTATTATTATTGAAATAACATAAACATTGCCAATCTTGTGTCAGGAGGCAGTCAAAGAAAGACTTCTTCTGTAACACAGGTATACTAAGTAGATTCAAATGTTATTATTTCAAAATCTCATTCCTCATTTTGATTAACATGTATTTTACTTGAATCTACAATATTCACTATTATAGGTGAAGACACTGTTTCTCAAAATGATCCATCTCCAGGATCGTGTTCCATCTCCAGGATTGCCACAGTTTGAGTTTTCTTTATAGTTTCTACTCCCATTTTCGGATCTTGGCAGTTTCACTCATTTCTTTCACCTATTCAAATGAATTTACCTCCATTGCTTTATGTGATATATTCATTTCGTCTTTGAAAAGGCTTTCTGATATTTATAAAATGAGGTCTATGTTTACCTTTTTGTGCTCTGGCTGTGTTAGAATACCCAGGGATTGCTGTAGCAGGATTGATGGGCTCTAGTTGTGCTGTATTTCCCCAGCTCTTGTTAACTGTGTTCTTACACTGTCCTTTATACATCTGGTTTACTGTGGTGATGAAAGGAAGATCTTGATGCCACCACTATACCCCAGGAAATCGTAGAGCCATGGGTTCCACAATGGAGTTCAAAGAAGCAGCACACAGCTTACCTGTGCTGGCTGTGAACCAGGACAGACTTCACTGTCAAGGAATTTGTGGAAGAGGATTTTAAGCTGGTTGTTCCTGTGAACACCCACTTAAGACCTCCACAGGGAGACGGCAAACCTACAAGCTCTTCAAGATGGCAGGGAAAATCCAGAGCCAGGCTATGGAGATCAGGTGACCATGAATGCAAATTATTCTGCTACTGTGCCCCAGGCAGATCAAACTGAAAAAAAAATTGGTGAAGCAAGGTTCCAATATTGTTGTTCTTTGGGGCCCACCACAGAACTCTTCGGGGAAGCAGGACACCCTTGATATCCTACAAGGCTCTAAAGTATAACATTCATATAAATATAAGTAATTGTTAATATAAAACTTATATAATTGCTGTCTCATAGGCTTACTACTGAATAGGCTTACTACTGCTAGTTTTTTAAGAACTCAGGCTAGCTGATTCAGCTCAGCTGCTGGGGCTGAAAAGACTCTAAGCTGATTGATTCAATATGGCTTCTCTCAACTTCTCACTGAATTGATCTGCTGGGACTCATGAAACTGTTCTCATTTTCTGGCTCATTCTTATTCTGTGGCTTAAACTGCCTATGCTGAATTTCACTGAACTACATGAACTCATGAACCAAATTAACCCCACTACATTATACTCACTGTTCTCTCTCTCTCTCTCTCTCTCTCTCTCTCTCTCCCCTTGCACTGTACTTGAATGAGTACTCTTTCTATCTCTTCTTTCAGATTTCAGCATATCCTGTGTCTGACATATTCTATCAAGTTTTTCCATGAGTAACTACCTGCTAAGAAATAATTTTCAAAATGGCTGCTTCCTTCTAGAAGCGAACATTACCTAACATTGTTTGAACTAAACGTGTGTACCAAGGTCATGTCCATATCCCAGCCAGATCACACAGACTTAAGTCTTTTGGTGTGAACCATTAAAAGAACAACCAAGGTGCTGGATTAAATTTTCTCTACCGTCTTAGTTTGTTATTCACTGCTGTGACCAACACCATAATTTAAAGGGCCATAGGAAGGAACAGATCATCTTAACTCTTAGAGACCCACATGGAGGAAAATCAGGACATGAAATCAGAGGAACAACTTGACAGTGGAAACAGAACCCTAAGCCATGAATGAAATCTGCTTACCTGATGCTCTCTAGAGTTGTTCAACATGCTTTCTAATATAAAACAAGAACACATGCACATGGATTCTACCATCAAAATCTGCCTAAGATTTCACACATCAACCATTAATCAAGAAAATGTCTCCACACAATTGCTTGCAAACCAATTTGGTGGAAGCAATGTTTTGAACTCACCTCCGTTGTTCCTTGATGACCCTAGTTTGAATTATGTCGATAAAATTCTGACCACCAGAAAATGGAAAGGCTGGTCCTATCATCCTGACATGACCTACTAACTGAGTATCCATGTGTTTACTACCCATAAGAAAAGAAATGACTGAACACACACTTAATAAGGATCCACCTCTGAAAGAGAAAAGAACTGTAAATATTGTGTGGTCTTATTGTGAACTCATTCCCTTTGCAAATGACTTTTTCCTAGTAACTTCATTCTATACAAATTTATGGAACAGCAAAACCCAAGAAGCACTTAAGGATAGCATAGAGACAGAGATTATCTTTGAAGTAACCAAAGTCAGAAATACTTGACTAAATTGACTTATATCAAGCTACTCAACATAGTAAAAGAAATGTGCACTTATTACTGTGACACTCCTTCCCAAACTTTGGTAAACACAATGAAAATGTCAGACAAAGACTGGACATACTGAGAGTAATGTCTGAAAAATATTCTCCTGACTATCACAACAAAGGGAAACAAAGCACTTACACAGTGAGTGACAATCACAGCATGCACAGATGGCTTTCTCTCTAATGTTGAGACCTCCATGCACCACTGACACTCACATTATAAAGACTATTCATTTGAATTGAAAAACACAAAATGTAAGGACTCCAATGCCAACTAATAAACCCTCACTTTCTTAGTCCTACAATAGAGATGGTTACAGTCTTTACTTCTCTTCCCTGGCATGTCTATTACAAAGGCATGGGGAGAAGCTCTACAGTCTCCTGTTCTCTATGGAGATCAACATCTGAAGGCACAAGGTTCCCCATGTTCATACCTGCCATCTACCCCAGTTCTTGTCATTCCTAAGTGTTCTCTGGTTTACTTCATATTTCAGCTTACATGACAATAAAGCCTTATGTCATGCTACTGCTTTTTTCCATGTGTTATGAACAGCTGACCTACCTGTCACTCAACAATGCATATTCATATTTAGAAACATGTTTTATGTGTTACAAACTGAACAAAAGATGAATAGGGATATAAAAAGTCCATTGATACAGAGAGACTGACACAAATCAAGCCAGAGTGTCCCTGAATAGGAAGTTTAAAAAACTCAGTCTATTGACATAGGACCCATATGAGTCTCTTGGATCTACTCTCAAATAAACATTTGAAAGCCAATGGACTAGATGTTTGTGAACTGCTTCCTAACAAGTAATTTACTGAAAAGTGGTGAAAATAAGATCATGGAACTAAAAGTTATATTTTAAAAAGTTGGCTCCTCAGGCATAAAAATAATATAAATACATAACTTGAAAATATTTTATTGACTACTCACTAAATAATAATTATACAAGTGTTGTCCACATTATTAAATAACTATTACTTCCGCATTTCATATAATAAAACAGTGCAAACAATATTTACTTATCCTACTGCTATTTATGACTGTCAATTTATGTGGGGATGAGTTGACAATCAGTTACAATACAAGGCTATCTGTGGTTTTGCATCTGTATTTTCAAACCACCTGGTGAAAGAGATGCCATCTATCCTGTTCAGAAAGAAATATTGATATAGAGAAATCCAAAACTAACTAACTAACTAAATAAATAAATAAGTTAGTAAGTAAATAAATAAATACAGAAAATATTATGATGAAAAAGATTCACCAATTCCATCCTAAATCTTCAAGTGTAATTGCCAATGACTTATAATTGTATTGAAGATAAAGTATCCTGTTCCACTTGCACTGCATGAATAAGAATTCACTTATTATAAACAGTACTATATCCCTCATTTTTGCTTCCAAAGACTTCAAAATATGACTTAACCTTTCTCTTGTTTATTTGAAAGTGGAAATTCAAACAGTTCCAGGGAAAAGTTCCTGAGTTTTCACTTCCATTTCCTTGAATAAGCAGAGGTAAAAGGAGAGGAAACTGGAACCCTTTCCCTGTGCTTCCTTTTATCCTCTCAGGAACCTCCCCAAATGCAAAGTAGCCCTCAGCTCAGGCTGAAAGCCCAGGCCTAGCTGACAAGCCCCATCCTATTCTCACTAGAGCCTCCATCAGAGCATGGCTGTCCTGGTGTTGCTCCTCTGCCTGGTCACCTTTCCAAGTTGTAAGTGTTTCAGAGTTTCAGGAGAAGAACTCACGAATGACATCTGTAGATTGTATGACTGATGGTGATGTTGTTTTTCCATAGGTGTCCTGTCCCAGGTGCAGCTGAAGGAGTCAGGACCTGACCTGGTGCAGCCCTCACAGACCTTGTCCCTCACCTGCACTGTCTCTGGATTCTCATTAACTAACAATGGTGTAAACTGGGTTCGCAAGCCCCCAGGAAAGGGTCTGGAGTGGATGGGAGCTATGTGGGGTGGTGGAAGCACAGATTATAATTCAGCTCTCAAATCCAGACTGAGCATCACCAGGGACACCTCCAAGAGCCAGGTTTTCTTAAAAATGAACAATATGCAAACAGAAGACACAGCCATCTACTACTGTGCTAGAGACACAGTGAAGGAAGTCTAGTAGGAACCTGTACAAAATCTTCCGTACAGAGGTCCTCAAGACCAGCAGGGGGCAGTGACAATCAACAAAATATT